AGCAGAACCCCCCAAGGCCAAGGGCCTTTGGGGCACTTTCCCCTCCCCACGGCACACCTGGGCAAGTGTTGCTGAGCACAAGGGCCCTTCTTCCCCTCTTCTCCTCTGTGGACACCAGGCACTCAAAAAAACTTCCTGAGTCTCTGTCTTTGAGAAGAGGTAGAGGTGTATTTGATATTTGATATTAGCCACTCTTGGAGCTGCTGCAACCTGGAGCAGGGAGCTGTCTGTCCAGCCCTTAGCATGCCCAGTTTGGAACTGACAGGCCTGCCATGCCGACTCTGATGTCCTCGCTCGTTCCTCAGGGCTGGAACAGAGAGGAACGTAGGCTACCGGAATTTGGGTCGGGCTTTAGATTTTGGTTTTGGTGCGGGCTTCTTTTTCGGTTTTGGTTTTGATTTCTGGAAATCCTGGATGATTTTCATGGTTTCATCTGCCCGCTTTTTGATGGCAGGGCTGTCAGCAGTCACGCTTTGAAGGGCTGGAAGAGAAAAGGACGAAGCCAAGATCAGAGCCAGTATCTGCAGGGCCCCGAGGAGCCCGTCCTGCCAGGGCCATCCCACCCAGCTCTTGCCATGGCCAGGAGGGAGCAGGGCCCAATGGGATCAGCCAGAAGGTGCTGGCCACCAACACCCCTCATGCCCCTGAGATCTCTCTCTGCTCTGTACATGCAGGGAACAGAGCCCTCCACACTTGGGGCAGGATTGCAGCTCCCTGCCCAGGGTCTGCGCACCTCCACCAGCCCCCACTGACAGCCCACTGCCCGCACTCACCCTCAATGATGACCTCTGTGATGGACTCATCCTCCTCCTCCCCCTTTCTCAGGTACTTGGCGGCGATCCCTGGGAACACAGATGCTGTCAGGGCCCCAGCGGTGTCACAGCTCCCCCCCAGTGGCACTGCCAGCCCGGCCACACGCCCTCCTGCCCTGGCAGGGCTGAACCCGGGCCCTTCCCACCTGGGGACGCCCCAGGGCTGGGCTGGCAGAGGGCAGCAGCACCGCCAGGGCACTCGGGGCTCCCCAGCACAGCCCTGGCCGCATCTGCTGCCGCTGCAGCAGCCGGGGCTGGGGCCGAGCTGCAGCGGGGCGGGCAGGGAGGGACCTTGTGGCTCACCAATGAACCTGAGGGCCATCTCTTTCAGGCGCTCCTGGGGGCTCTCCACGTATGGCAGGATCTGGCACAT